TCTCTTTGTCTCTGAGATTAAAAGACTGCGAATCTCTCAAACGTGTGATGCTAAGCACACACCTAAAAAAAAAACCCACACACAATCTTAAGTCATAAAAAAGTACAAATTAAATTATTTGTATATAAACATTTGATAAAATGTGTTTCACAATTAGCATTGGCAAATGGTAGCTTAGCCTATACCGTTAATGTTTTGATATTATATGCAGAAAATCTGTTTTAAAGTGGCCATAATAAAACAAAACATACAAAGTACAGTGTATATTCTTATAGAGTTTATTTGAGAAGGTGTATTTGACGTACTATACTAAGGCAGAAAAGGGTGCATTGATGATGAACGCAAACTTTAAAAAGATATTAACAGATACAAAGGGAAGATAATGCAGCCATTACAGGGGAAAATGACGAGATATATTTTAAACTTGCAGGTTACTTGATGATTTTCACAGCTTTTTATTTGCTCTGGGTAAAATCGTACAGATATCAATAAAGCAACACTGTATCAATGTGTTTAATCTTTAGTTTTAATTTAATTTAAGTGAACAAAGGAGACAGCTTGATACATGAGTAGTAGGTCATGTCTTAATATTTTTTCAAAAAGATTTATACAGTTAAATAAGAATATTAAAAAAATACAATCCACAAAAAATCCACAATAGCCATTTATATTTGACATAGAGTTTCAATTTAATGTCATGTAAAAATTCCCCTTTACTTTATTCTAGAAATGTTTGTATCTTCTACCAATATAAAACAAAAGTTTCACTTTTCATTCATTCATTTCAATACATCTGATATAGACATTTCAAACAACACAAACACTTTTAAATAGATTTGACATACATATATTTAAAAAATTCCACGTATAACCTAAACATATAACTTGTAGGCATGTCTACTCTTTGATCTTTGGACTGTTAATTCCCCCGTCATGTCTAATAAAATGTCATCCTCTTTCAAGAAATAACAGAGAAAATCAGGGTTTTTCCTGGCTCAGAATGGGCCTTTGGTGTTTGAATACGCACAGCAATAAGCGCGATCAGTCCACGTACAGTCTGCTGGGCGATACGGCTTACAAATAATACCTCAATATTTTTAGCCTATGCTGTGATATACGATGTATATCTTTATCTACACATTTTCACTATTGATTAAATACATTTGGAGAGGATTTTGAATTGCTATTTTTTTATTTATCATTTTGGTGCTGGCTAAAACCCAAATCCTGCCAAAAATGTCTTTATGCAGGAAAAACCCCTGAATACACAGATATATGTAGAGCCCGATACAGCAAAAAATGTAGCCAATGGACTCTATGAGCTGACGCCCACACTTCTTCAAAGAGTTAAAAATCATTGCTGACAATTGCTAACATGCACTCATTAATAAAAGTTGTAAGTTGATTTTGACAGTCACAATGTAAAAGCTTCATGCAACTGTAAAAAGTACTTGGTTGTGTCATTCTATTATTGGTAGTAAAGGCACTTTATTTAAGGTGGTTTATTCTGCAAATCAAAGGTTAATTTGCTGATCCAACTACAAGCTGAGATATTAAGATACTTTCCTCCTGGAGAAACAATATGCTGTGTCAACATTAAAGCTTTAAATGCTTTAATTTAAGAAAGCCTTTCACAGTGAAAGTTCTTAATGGAGTTTTTCTGAAACACCACAATTCTATGATGCCCCATCTGAAATACCTCCACGCGATGTTCTGTGATTCACTTAAAAAACAGATCAGAAGAATCAAACATAAACTCTTTTCTTCACGTGTTTGTCCCTGTAGCACACAAAAGTAGAACTTTTATCTGTGTTCATTTACATGAGGGTCTATTGGGTGCATCACTAAATCAATGTATTCTCAGTTTTAAACATGGTTTGAGTTTAGGGAAGTCTTGGAGGACACACCATTAGTGAAAAAGAACCCAACATAAGACAAATACATCTTTGGGTTCTTGTATCTCTACACGACTTCACTGAGTTTGAATAGCACACTAAGACGCATTATCGAAAGTCATCTCATGAAGGCTCAGGGGCAACAACAAATCAAGGTCAAGGGTCAAAAGACCTTGCACTGGTTTATGCTGAACATCCGTCGCCTGGCTTGCTTCCTGGCCTGGTTTACAGCCGTCCGCACTGCGTACTCAAACACCTGTTGCACGCCGCGGTTGCTTAAGGAAGAGCACTCTAGATAGCCTTTAGCGCGGACTTCACGCGCCACCTGTCTCCCCTCCACTGCTGTGATGCAGTTGCCCCGATAGGCCCCCACCTCCCGTAGATCCGTCTGGGTGGCCACAACCAACACTGGCACCTTCGGCAAGTTCTCTCGAACCTCAGCGATCCACTTATGCTGGACGTTAGCCAGTGAGTTCGGGTTGGCCACGGAGTAGCAGATGAGGACGATATCAGCCTGCGAGTAGGATCTCGGCCGGATCTGTCTAAAGTTGTCATTGCCTGCCGTGTCCCACAGCCCCAGACTGATCTGAACCCCATCCATGTACACCTCCACCCCTGTGTTATCAAACACTGTGGGCTTGTAGGTGTCCGGGAAGGTCTCTGAGGTGAAGCGGACCAGCAGGGCCGTCTTGCCCACGGCACTGTCCCCGACCAGGACACACTTCACCGACATCTCCGTAAGGCCGTTCATGGTTGCCTCTGACAGTCTCTCTCCTCTAGATATTTGTATTTTGGTGGAGAAAAGTCTCAGGGGAAGTTTTTCGTGAACTTGTCGATCTGTAGAGGCGCAGGGTTCACGAGGTAGCGATCACTCTGGATGTGCTGTTCTTCAGTGTAGAGGCGGTATTTTTCATAGCAAGTGATTTGTAGCCCTGATTTCTGGTAACTGCCTTCCTGGAGATTTCAGTCGTCATTCAACTTGAACTGACCTTCAATGTCTCTCTTTCCAGAGTCCTGAAACGTCTGTTATAGGTAGTAGATATGTACAGTCAGCAGTTCTCCAGCAGTGAGCTTTATACGCGCTTCACATAACGTCTCAGTTGTTTAGGCCCTCGCAGCTCGTCTCACTTCTGCTCGGTTTCTGCAGCGTGGTCAGGTTCTGGTCCTTTCCTCTAACGGCCTTGAGTGTCGTCATTATGTCCAAACAGAGCTAACCTCTCAGAGCTGAGGAGGAAAAGCTACCGAGGAAGAGAGAGGAAGAGAGGATATGTTACGAACATGAGGTATCTGTCAGCACTCTGTTGTCTTACTTTCAAAAGACGCAACAGTTAGAAATTGAAATGCTTCAGCTAATTGTTTAACTTCATTTATATGTTTCACCAGATTCTTCTCATCTACGTGTAGCCTATTGTGGACGATGGCAGCAGCGTGGCCTTTAACACAATTAACATGACAAATGAGATATATCTGCTTAAACAATATAGAAATAGTCTACTGCTAGAGTACCGCATGTTGCAGATGACATCAACTTTAGTGTCTGTAACACACATAATTTATATTTACACAGAAGTATAATATAAATACAAAGCACCGAATGTATAACAAAGTACTGATTAAATACGGAAGTAAAGATCTGTGTGTTTGGGTGTGACCCAGAATTCACAGCTTTATCCTGAAGACTCTAACAGGGGTTCAATAGTATCCATGTTCTCTATGTTATCTCATACATTTAACCTGTTTGTCTCCAATTACTCTAATGCATGTCCCTCCTAACGAGTCCTGATTCAGCCATAAACAAACACCTGATAATGAATAAGGACTTCTCTGTGATGTGTGATACAGAAGCTAATACGTGTAGATCTTAATGGTTATTTTTTTAATATAATTAACTAAATCAGCTGGTGGTTTCTTATGACTTATCTATTGCATTAAATGGACAGTTTAACAATTGTATTAAAGTAGCATAGCATAACACTGTTAGGACTGCATAACAAGTCCTAACCTCAAAACCACCTGCCATGACACACACACACACACAGTCATCTAGATGGAAAGACCTCCATCTCCATAACGTAGATGGGACACTTTAATCAGTGTTTTTTCCACAATTCAACTGTCTAAATTATCTCACTGGAACAAGTATTAGTTTTATAATCTTAGTCTACAGTCAAAGCTAAAATTAATTAATTAATTAAAGTTTTAAAACAACCAACAAACACTTGGCAAAACTGATCAAACTGTCAAAACTCTTTTTACTTCAAGTAGAGTACAATAAAATCTTATTTTACACATTCATAATCATCTCTTTGTCCCAGTGAGAGAAAGAACACAACATTACTTTCTCAGTTCTCACTTGCTCATTTAATGCTGAGGTTTTTAGGTTTTATTACATTTCCAAATATATTATATAATAGAATATATAATAGAACACACTGAGTTTGATATATAGTCATAGTAGTACAGGCCTCAGCCACACGCTGCCTTTAATCAACACAAAGTAAGGAGGGAGCAAAGAAACCAAGGATAAATTACCTTTTCTTGTCTTCTCAATCTGTAACGGCCGGATGCTGGCTGCCGCCTTTCAAGACCCTTCTTCAGCAAAATCCACCCAACCACAAAAAAAACCAAAAAGCCGCTTGAAACTCCAAGACACGGTTGGTTTAAATTATGATAAACTGCCGAACTGGATACACTGAAACGCAATTTGCTAAAAAGTCTGTATTAATGAGACAGGAAAAGAAAACGACAGACTAAAGGACTTGGGCACTGCCTGACACCCGAGCCCAGAGACGGAAGCCGACGAAAGAGGAGAGAAAAGAAAAAGTAAAACACCATCCCGCTAGGTTGCCCAGTGCAGGTGTGACTGAAGTCTGCTGCTCGCCTCCCCCACAGCAGATGTGCTTTAAGGGATAGGAGGTTTTTTGTGTGCCTTTTTTGTTATTGTGAATGTGCGTACGATTTTAACTGAACCTACACGCTGGCCCAAAAGAAAAGATCAGGTTGGCAAACTGGCTGTCATTGTATACGGATCAATGATGGTCCGATGGCTCCGATCAAGCTCAACTCAAGTAGAAAGACCCCAATCCCCTTAAGCTAATAATGATCGCCCTGTAGCCCCTATTGTACTGTTTTAATATATTATTAAAAGTACCCCCGTACCTCTGATACTATAGTATATACGCAGCAGCCACACAGCACCACAACACAATATATAGTTTACGTATAGTCCCCAGTATATCATACATTGACGCAAACCAGTCTGAAATATCTCTCCTCACACACAACGGACCCCCGTCCCGCAAGGCGAGACAAGGAGGCGGGGGAGGCAGGAGGCGTGAGAAAAGACTTTCGGTCAGCAGCTGGGTTGTGCCGCTGGTCAGCAGTCGGGGGGAGGTGGCAGGGAGAGGTGAGCCCGGCGGACCGGCCGCGCGCACTCAGGCCGCTCGGGGAGGCTGGAACTGCAGTTGGAGCCGCCACGGCCGCGCGCCGCCCGCACCGGCTCCCCGAGCCGCGCTCGCCCGGCGGCGCTGGGCTCGGCGCGCTGGCCACGGGATACGCGTCACCCGCGCGGTTGGTAGGCGGGAGGGGGCGGCGGCTGCACGGGGGGGGGGGAGGGCGGGGTCGGGGGTAGAGGGACGGCCCGGCTACAGGTCCAGGCAGTACCTCCGGCGCGCGCTCGCACCATGCGGCGGCAGGCGGCGTACGCGCGGGCAGGAGATGCGGGGTACACGACAGGCTCAAGGGCCTACAAGCGGCGGGATCCGAATAGTATGTGTTCAGGGGGGCTAGAGAGGCGGCGTGCGGTTGCGTCAGTTCGCACACACACGTACCTGACTCGGAGCGCTCACACTCTCGTACTGAGGGCGCGTGCCGCGGAGTGGACGGGGCAGAGTCCGACAGCAAACACGCGTGCAAACCCTGAGTCGCGCTTGTCTCTTGTTGGCGCGAGTGTCGTCAGGATAAAGACATCCGAGGCGTGGGCGCACGGATCTACCAACTAACCAGAAGCGGCGCCAGCGGAGCCGAAAAAGAAACAACGGGCCGGCGCGTTACCTGGACGCGTGAAGACGCGAACGATGCCGGCGTCGGGGGGCAGCGCGGGGCGGGGCAGGCGGCGGGGCGCACGAACGGGCAGGGGCGTCGCGACGCCGGCAGCTCGCGACACTGCGCGCAAGGCTACGCCGGGCAGTTGCTGGTCGTTAGCTTTGCGGCGTGTGTCGCCCTCCTACTTTCTCGCTCGTCTCGGGGGGGGGGGGCGGCGGGGGGACGGGCCGCGGGCGTGGGCTGCGGTGTGGGTCAGGCAGGGCGGGAAGTTCGTGGTTAGTCTGTGTTGCTGTGGGTGGTCTTGTTTGTGGTCCGTCGGTCAGTGATGTGATTGGGGAGTCATTGACTTTTAGCTATTATTTGCTTTCAAGTGTATGTTCAGTTCCGGTTCTGTGCGCTAAGTTTGTTGGTTTATTGCTATTTAAGTTTCTTTCTGGGCGCGGCGGGCGCAACGCCACAGCGGTGGCTGTGTTCGAGGTTTGCAGAGCGCTTGCTGGCGGGGTGCTCGCGTGGCGAGCCTGGTCGAGCGGACAGGCGCGCCGGATAGCGGGCGAGCGCGGCGAGGGGCGGCGGCCGCGGACGGCGGGGGCGCCGGCCGGAGAGAGAGGGGAGCGACACACAGGACGCCAGCAGGACGCGTGAGGCATTACCTCGTTTTCTTTTCGATCCTTGTTACGCGCGCGCCTTCGGCGGGCCTCTCTGCGCAGGTACCAGCAGCCTGCGTGGCCTGAGGCCTTCAAATCACTACTATTATACGCCTACCTACCGCCGGGCGCGGGCGCCATGGCCCGCCGCAGTGACCCTAGGGCGCGGGGCCTCGCTACTATAGACGGCCGCCTGACCGCGCTCTATCGCCGCGCATACATCACGATACGTGAATTCATCGGCAAGTGTAATGAACCTACAAAACAACCTCGAAGCATTACAACTTTCTAAAGGCAAAGTGAGAGCTGACGAAAGCTAATGCCTTGCTCGTTCTTTCTCTCTACTGGGGACAAAGAGATGGATTACCGAAGTTGTAAGTAATTAAGATTTCTAGTTGTACTCTACCTTGACAGTAAAAACAGAGTTTTGACACGTTTTGATCAGTGTTTCGCCAACGTGTTTGTTGGTCTTTTTAAAACCTTTAATTAATCCTAATTAATTTTAAGCTTTGAACTGTCAGAAGCTTAAGATTATAAACACCTAAGTACTTGTTCCAGTGAGACTACATTTACGACACGCGTTTGCAATGTGGAAAAAACACTGAAAAATAAAGTGTCCCCATCCTACGTTCATGGAGAAATGGAGGTCTTTCCCACTGTCTAGATGACTGTTGTGGTGTGGTGCCAATGGCCAGGTGGTTGTTGAGTTAGGACTCTGTTATCCGCAGCCCCTCCTAACCAGTGTTAGGCTTATGCTGACTTTTAATACAAATCTGTTAAACTGTCCATCTTAACTGCATAGATAAGTCATAAGGAAAACCACAAGCTGAAATTTAGTAATTAATATTCCCTACAAAAAAAACCATTAATGCGATGCTACACGTATTTAGCTTCTGATCACGACCATTCCCAACGAAGAACGTCCTTATAAAATAGCGAAGGGTGGTTTGTTTATGGCTTGAATCAGGACTCCGGGTTAGAGGAGGAGCATGCATGTAAAAAGAAATTGGAGAATCAAACAGGTTTGAGAGAGATGTATGAGATAACATCAGAGGAAACAAATGGATAACTGATCTGAACCTCCTGTTGCAGGAGTTCTTCCCAGGGTAAAGCTGTGAATTCCTGGGTCATCATGCTTTGAGGGCACACAACACACCCCAACCGGGCGGCAGACTTTCACTCCGTATTAGTAGATCAGCTACTGTTGTTAGTAACAATCATGTCGGTGCTTGTAGTTTCAGTCGGAGTCCGCGACACTCTTGTGTCAAGATCATACAGCACTTATCGGTGACTGTTACGCAGGGACGAGCACTCAGACACACGTTCTGAGCTATGCGCCTTGCAACCAGTTGCGCACCACTGGAGCTCAAGAGGGGCAGTCGCACACCAGTGCTTATACTCGGGCGTTAAGCCCAATGACATCCTCATTTGTTCATCGTTAGAATTGTTTACAGACGGCCAGCCCGCTGCCTGCCAATCCGGTCCACAATAGCACCACGCTTAGATGATGAAGAAATCTTGGCTGAAACAATAAATGGGCAAGTTATGAAACAATTAGCTGGCAAGCATTGTCAATTTCTACTCGTTGCTCCTTTTGAAAGTAAGACAACAGAGTGCTGACACGATAACCTGCATGTTCATCGTAACAGTATCTTCTGTCCTCTCTCTTTCCTGCCGGTAGCTTTTCCTCCTCAGCCGGGCTTCTGAGTAGTTAGCTCTGTTTGGCACATAATGAACGGACACTTCGAGGCCGTTAGAGGAAACAGGAAACTCAGGCAACGCTGCACCGAACCGCTGGCAGCACGAACCACCGCGAGCAACAGTGAGGACGAGCTGCGAGCGCGCCTAAACAACTGAGACCGCTTCATGTGAAGCGGCGTATAAAAATTCACTGCTGAGAACTGCTGACTGTAGCATCACTACTACCTATAAGCAGAGCGTTCCGATTGACAACCTGGACAAGAAAAGAGGACCATTGAAGGCTGCAGTTCAAGTTTGAATGACGGACTGAAATCCTCCTAGGAAGCGCAGTTACCGACAAATCAGGCGGCTAAAATCACTTGCGTATGAAAATAACCGGGCTCTACACTGAAGAACAGCACCATCCCACAGTGATCGGCTACCCCCTCGAGTCGAACGCCTCGGCACCCTCTACAGATCGACCCAAGTTCAGATAAAACTTCCCCGTGAGAACTTTTCTCCCAACCAAAATCACCCATATCTAAGGAAGAAGAGAGCAACGGCAACCATGAACGCTTTACAGATGTCGGGAAGTGTTGTTGCGCCGGAAGTGCCGTGGCAGACGGGCTGCTTCCGCTTCACTCAGATTGGAACATACACAGCCACAGTGTTTGATAACACCAGCTGCAGGTTCAAGTGCACTGCGCGCGCTTCACACTCAGCTGGCGGCGTCGGCGCGCGCGACACACGGCAAGCACACAGTGCACAACTTTAGACACGACGGCACCGATCCTACTCGGGCAGGCTGATATCGTTCATCATCTGCTACTCGTCGCGGCACAACCCGAACTCCAACTGGCTAACCGTCCAGCGCATAAGGTGGGATCGGCTGAGGTTCGAGAGAAAAAAGCTTGCGCGAAGGGTGCCAGTGTGGGTTGTGGCCCCCAGACGGCATCTAACGGGAGGTGGGGGCCTATCGACACACAGGAGGGAGCGAGCACACACCAGCATCACCAGCAACGTCAGAGGAGAAGAAGGAGCAAGACAAGGCTGACCGCGACGTACGAAGCTATACCGGGCCATCTTACGGGAGTGAGCTCTTTCCATACAACCGCGGGCGGTGCACACCACAAGGAGTTTTGAAGTACGCAGAGCTGTAAACCCGACAGGGCAGCAGGCGACCGGAAATTTCAGCATACACCAAGTGCAAGGTCTTGTTGACCCTTGATTGATTTGTGTGTTGCCCCCTGCAGCCTTCATGAGATGACTTTCGATATGTCTTAAGCGTGCTATTCAAACTCAGTGAAGTCGTGCCAGAAAAAAAGAGCACTACAAGAACGCACCAAAGATGTATTCTACTGCTGCCTTATGTTGGGTTTTTTTTCACTAAATGGCTGTGTCCTCCCAAGACTTCCCCTAAAACGTCCAAACAATCGGTTTAAGAACTGAAGAATCAACATTGTGTAGTGACTGTCATGCCCCAATAGGACCCCTCCATGGTAAACATGACCAGCATCTCAAAAAGTTCTAACTTTTGTGTGCTACAGGACACCAACACCGTCGAGAAAGAAGAGTTTGCGAATGTTTGATCTCTTCTGAATTGTTTTTTAAAAGTGACCATCAAACAGAGACTAATACGCGCGTGGAGGTATTGTTCAATAGGGGCACAATCAGAATGTCAGTGGTGTTTCAAGAAAAACTCCATTAGCACTTTTCACTTGAAGGCTTCTCTTAACATTAATAGCAATCGTTAACAGCTTTACATGTTGACACCAATCAAATAAAATGTGTTTCTCCAGGCGAGGAAAGCACTCTGTAATATCTCAGCATGTGTAGTTGGATCTGCAAATTAACCCCTTCTGATTCTGCAGAACTAGAAGCCAACCCTTAAATAAAAAAGTCGTTTACTAACCAACTACATAGAAATCGCGAGGCACAACCAACGTAACCTTTGTAGCAGCGTTGGCATGAGAGGCTTTAAACATCTGCCTGGACCTGCAAAATCAACCTTACAAACTCTTTATTAATGCAGTGCATGTCTAGCAATTGTGACAGCCAAGTGCGATCTTTTTGAACTCCTTCTGAGAAGTCGTGGGCGGCGGTCAGCCAGATCACCGAGTCATTGGCTCACATTTTTTCGCTGCTCATCTGAGCCGCCCTCCGGTACATATATCCTGTGTATTCAGGCCCGGGTTCTGTGTCGTGCATAAAGGCGGACGCCCTAACCCACTTTTTGCCAGGAATTCTGGGCTTTTAGCCAGCAACCCAAATGGAATAAATAAAACAAGTAACGCAAATTCAAAATGCCTCGCCCAAAATGGTATTCTACATCCAATACTCGAAACAATGTGTATCAAGGCCATCACACGGAAGCGAAAAAAATATACATCGTATAATCCACAGCGCAATATCGCGGGCTAAGAAATATTGAGCCCGTATTTGTTCGCGCGTAAGGGCGCGTATCGGCAGCAGACTCCGTACGGGTGGACTGAATCGGCGCTTAATTGCCTGTGCGTCATTCACCACACCAAAGCCCCATTTTGAAGCCCTACGGAGAAAACTGATTTTCTTGTTATTTGTCTGAAACAGAGGAATCGCACATTTTTATTCAGAACATGCACGGGGGCGGCAAATTAACAGTCCGACCAGACGATCCAATACGAGTACCCGCCCCACAGCCTCTACCCAACATTTAAGTAGTTCGTAGGTTATACCCGCTGGAACTTCTTTTTAAATGATATGGTAATGGGTCCGAACATCTATTTAAAAGTGTGTGCCTGTTTTTTGAAATGGTGCTGATATCAGATGCGCACTCGTGAAAAGAACGAACTGGAAAATCGACAACTTTCTGCGTTTATATGTGGTCGAAGATAACACAACACTTTGCCAGAAAATCAAAGTCAAACAGCGGGAACTCTTTGTACATGCTACATTCAAACTTGAAACTCGCACTGGTCAACATCAATAATCGCCTCATCTTGTGATTGTTTGTGACTTGTGATATTCTGTTTTTTACAATTATCTCTATCATCTCTAACGACTGTATCAAACCTTCTGTTCTGAAAGAAAATATGTAAGAGCCTGACCTAGCCCTAACTCACTGTATCAACAACTGTCTCCTTCTGTCCGTCACCTTAAATTCAAACTTGAAACTGAAAGGATTAAGGACACACTGTCCGATCCGAGCAGTGTCTGTCTGTTAATTGTATCTGTAACGCATTTTAGCCCAGAGCAAATACAAAAGCTGTAAGAAATATCAAAACGGCTCAACCTCTGGCAAGTTGTAACAGATACCTATCCTCGTTCCATTTTCCCCTCTGTAATCCGGCGCCTGCATTGATCGTTCCCGTTTGTATCCTGTCTAACTCATCGTTTTTAGGAAGTTTGCGTTCATCGCAACTCATCCGGCACCCTCTTTCCTGCTTATCATAGTCGTCAAGAATAGCCACTTCATCAAACAATACGAACTCTATACAGAATCGTACACCTACTCGACTTGTACTGTGTTGTTTTATTCTAGGGCACCTTGCAAAGACAGATTGGTTCGTCGCAGCTATCAACCTAGTCGAGAAACAAGTTAACCGGTACCTACCGGCTGAACGCCATTGTTGCCAGATGCTAATTGTGAAAACACATCTTTATGCAAATGTTTATGAAGGTAGCCATAATGATGTTGTTCATCTACATAATTCAATAATTTGTACTTTTTTTATTGACTTAAAGGATTGTGTGCTGGGTTTTTCCTTCTTTTTCACGCTGTTTTGTTCTTTAGCATGCAACTACGTTGAGAGATGTCGCAGGTCTTTTACTCTCAGAGACAACAGAGACAAAAGATTGCGAAAGACAAGCTTAGTCCAGCTGAGAACAAAGAATAAAGCTAACCATACCAAACCACAATAAAGGAGCAGGGGATGTAAGGTTGGGTGTCAGTCCACTAACTCGAGCAGATGACCTTAAACCCTTTGGATTATGACTACGTTGAAGAGCAGTCAAGTCTATCGGTTTATTTTTGTATGTTTTTTCACCTTTTATGTCTACACATGCAGCACCATTTTTGGGTGGTGTGTTTATGAACCCTGTCTACAGTGGTTACATTAAATTTGGTCTTGTTCTGTGTGCGTATCTGTATTATTGTATTGATGGTGGGGTTCGGGTGTTCATAAAACTGGGACATACATCAGTTCTCTTTATGTATTTATTTATTTAGTACATAGTGCAAGATTTAAAGGACGACCAAGTTGAACTAGCCGAACGAATCCTGGAAAAAAGCTGTTTCGGCACCCCTCCCGCTGTTTCATCGCCTTCTCCCGCCTCTTTCTCTATCATGTTCTCTGAGCCATTGAATGTGGTGGTTCTTGTGGTTGACGATGAGACACTACATATACAGTGTCCTTTCCAGGAATACTGGATGACACAAACACGCTAACCACATCTCCAGCACTACACAACACCACAGGCAATCACATCACACCACCACGCACACACATTAGGTTTATCAAAAAGTAGTTTTGTCTACGGTGTTGTGCAAACCACAGCGACTGTTTAGAGCTACTTGTCTGTATATTTTCTAAAGTCGTCTCCACCACCAATCCAACCAGCTAGTGACAGAGCAAGTGGAGCACATCGTAATACACCGTGGAATCTACTCAGATCAAACAATGAACCATGATTGTTGGAACGTTTATGAAAGTCCCTCCTTTGTTAGAAACCCGTCCTCAAGTAGATATATAGTCTGATGAACCGATTTAAGGACGTAGCCGTGCTAAAAATTAAGTACCTGTAATATGTGCAAGTGTAACTCAAATGACAACCCGCTCAAATTTGTGGTTGTCATTTTAAAATGTCAGGCGAACCTAGCATAATCGGACTATATAAATCATAAAGGGCCGACTAATAAAGACTATCATATTGACCATGTGGCAAATCATTGACATGCCCCAGTCCACATTTTCCACAAAACTGCCCTCCTGTTGTGTGTGAGTTTACTAGACATGATCACTAGATATCATCA